AATGTTCATTTACATATATCAACAAAGTAAGAGAGGCGAGTAAACTAAATTGTAACACACCCCTAGTAACATCTCTTGTTTCCGACAGATATTCATCTAACTTGTTTGCCTGCTTTCGACCAATGAAGTTAGCTTCTAACCAAGAATAAAACGAGCCTGCGATTCAACATAGGTGAAATTTCTGTGTGAAACCCTGTCAAAGGCTTTTTGAATGTCCAAGTGAAGTACGACACGGGTCTTACCAGAGTCCGTCGACGCCGTTAAGTGATCAAAGAAATCTAGCCGAAAGCGACACTTAAAGGCTTTTAAAGAAATCCGTACTGCAAATGCGACACAAGGTTGTTTGATGCTGGAAATTAATTGATTGCCTTTTAACTAGACGCTCCATGATTCTGGAAATTATAGTTTGGCCAGAAATGGGGCTAAGGCATCGGTACACTTTCTCAGGACGAAGAGGTGACTGCCTCAGGTCCGCATGTCTTGCTTGAGTGACTCCAGGTTAGCTTCTTGAGCCGTAATACAAAGTTGACCGGAGGCACTGAGCTCGCCGACCACTGAGACGGTGTATTTGATGAGCCGAAGAAGTCGTTACTGTTGGTGCAGCCTAAGTTACGAGTTAATTCTTCTACGTCCACATTAGAATTTGTGTTCTGTCGGATGACTCCCCTGAGCCTCTTTATCATCTGCCAAATCTAACGAAAACTTTGTTTCCAAGAATTGTTTGGACATTGACATTATTGTTCAGGTTGTGCACTGCTACCTTAACGTAAGCAGAAAGAGAATTTATTAAAGCATGATCTCTGCTGTTAAAGGCTCTTCCCTGTGTCTAAATGGCTGCTTGAGAAGGGTTGGAGAATAGCGATCATCACAGCTGAAACGGTTTCATAACAGAAGTTCAAATAACTAGTCATCTGATTCCAGTACGTTGACATACCTGTGTTGAAAGACAATTTGAAGACTGCAAAACAACCAGTACTCTAAACCGCGCTATTTTTGAAGGGAGGGATTGTCTCCATTTCCATCTGCGATCATCGTAGGGACTGACCTACTTGTGGTGACTCCTACGGTAGATAACAGGTATCAATTTGACTATGGAGGGATCTTAGCTGTTAAGTGGTGCATGATTGCAGACCGATAATAACATTAAATTCTTGACAAGTACTAAATCCAGGGTTGCCTCTAATCTGGTGGGATATTTTACGATATTTTCTAGATCGAGATTTGTAGGGAATGCGGTGTCAAAGCTAATAAAGCCACCTGTAAATGTGCACAAAGGCTGGTCAATTTTCCCAATAAAATCATTCGTATAGTAATCTTTGCATTTGTCTTCAGCTGTGTTGGGACAACTGGGGGATATATAGATGTTGGTCGGGAAAATTCAGCCTTACCAATCCTATATTTTCACTTACACTTTAAGACCATGCAGTCGATACGTTGTAACGAGTACCAGAAGAGGATTTTCACTGAAGCGTTACTAAAAGCTTTGACATCGGTGCCACGATTCCGGTAGGTGCATGAGTAATCAGCACGAAAACAAATAAAACGGTCAGTCGAAACAACAGAGCTTTCAACATCTTCACGGAGACATATTGCAGCATAATGATTCCAAGTTGCGCATAATCACGACAAGTATTAACGTTTATAATGTCCTCCACTTTTTCTAGCAACGAAAAAACAGTGACGATTAGAATAGTGTGCATGCGTATGATTGTCAAGTTTTTCTTCTTCAGAGCAACCTTTTACCCCCCACGATGCTTTTATATGGATTGATTCCGTTTTTTGTAGCTTCTTCTTACTTTATTCCTGATAGCTCGATTAATGCTATCGGTTGCGCGGAAACCACTAAAGACTTCGCGGTATGGATTGTAGAAAAAGACTAGGTAAGTAAGACAATGGATAAATATTGTTGAAAGCGTGTGTAGCAATAAAACCTTGAAAGAAGAAAATATAAAGCACGACCATTTTTGAAGGACCAGAATTTGGTGGTGTTATACGCAAAATTGTGGAAAGCAAAAATTGAAAATAAACTCCGTGAATCCTGACGCAAATCAGATTTTCTCCTTTTGATTAGTCGAACTTTGAATGAAGTATGAAATAAGTTAACCAGAAGAGCCACATTTGTGTACGTGGCGAATGCCATACATGTGCCATTCAAAATGTCAGTTGAGCTGAGTCGTCCAATACCGAAAGATGTGCGCATTCCTTCTGGTCTTCCCTGGTTGGGATCGCGCAAATGCGTCTTATTTTCTGATTAGTTTCTTTTGATTGATAGAAACATTCCAAATGACTACAAACTGGGGCCATATCCGATAATTTAATTTTGCTTCACCCGACGGAGAAACTCTAGCTTATGTTAGCTTGCATGCATGGAGAATAAACCATCCAGCCTCTATTGATCGCATCACGGTAAGGTTGCTATACTACCTTTCCGACATCTGACAGCTACGTTCACTGACATTTTATTTATCTTCTAAACCTAGGTTCCTTTTTGAAAGGAGTTAGTTTTACATGGGTCATTTAAAAGCTAGAGTAAACCGTCAGCTATGAGTTAACAAATTTTCCCTGTATGTTTAGCACTGTGATTTATAATATAATCACCACTTCCAAAAATATTTGAGCGCAACTACAACCTCTGGAATACCCGCGGACCCCTAATGTATCCGCGAGCCGCACTTTGAGAAACACTGCCTTACGTGAAATTCTAACTGAAAATATGTTCCCCCTCCACTGTCCATATTTTCAATGTAGCCGGATATTCATATCCCACTCAGGATCATAGAGTCACTTTAACAATTTTATCTACCGGCAATGCTGTAATTTAACTTGCTCAAAGCAAATTATTAACCGGAACTCGACAGCCTTTCAAACGGGTCACAAGTACCGATATTCGTTGTCATAGCATTCATGCTCGGATGTCAAAGCAGCAAAGGTCGATTCAAACGGAAACACAGGCGCACATAGAGTGTCAACGTCACAGCATTTAGCGGTGCATTATGAGTCCTTGGGCGTTATGGTCATACCAAAGGCACCTCATGAAATCCATAGAACCTATAAAGAAAAGCATTTTAAGGAAGCTTGAATCGGCTTTGAAGTAGGCATGGATATCGTCCTATCTTTCAGCTATAGCTTTTGTGTTAACAAAGAATATATCACCTCACAATAAAATACCAGCAAATGATTAGGCAAACCATGCTTATTTCGCTGGCAGGCACTGGATAAATCTGTAACCTCATGCTCATGTAACATTGCATTTGGCAAAATGGATAGAAAAATTAAGCGAATGTTTAATAGTCCGCACTTTTTCAATGTATTTTCCGTTTGATGTACATTTTGCACTTTCACACCAAGCGAAATTTCAGCGCATCTCTCTTACCCCCACCACGGTACAACATTTATATTTTCTCTATGTGTTTTGCCTCTTGCCAAAACATGATCGACTATTTCACGTGTAATTCTACATCCTGAGATAGAGTTTCAGAGATCTCCGTGTCACCAATGCATTCATGCTAAGGATCTTTCAGCAAAATATCTCATTTGTAGCAACTTAAAAACAAGCGCAAATTATTTCCTCTATATTTCAACAAAAATTTATTACCATGTATTACTTTTCCTTCATTGTTTTACGTTTTTACCTGAGAAACGGAAGTTCAGAAGGCGTTTAATGACCACAAGTATAAGCTTCTTCTCAATGGCTAGATTAAAAGCATTTATCCATACCCGCAGCAATCTTTTAGCATAGTACAATATATGGCATTAATTTACTACCAAGATACTCATTGTATTGTCTGCTTAATATGGACAGTCTTTACAGAGATAAGCAGAAAGAGGATCTCAATATGTTTAGGACGTCGTCTATCCAAGGACATCCGTGAGAACACTCTTCCTAATTTCATAGGTTTGTGTCCACATCAAATAGTTACTTTTATCCACTGGATCGCCTATGCATCGGCCAATATTTTCTGGTATTTATAGAGACCAGTATTCACAATGCGAAGTACTTCTGTTCCTTGTCCAATTTCGTCAGCTCACACGTCGATTTTTGATCTCTTAGCTGCTCACAGTGGTTTAGAGGCTCCGAGAAATCGTCTCGAAACTATCTTTCTACCAAACCTTTGGAGTAGACATATCACTTTGATATGCTTTCGTAGAAGGTAATTGCACTGACCGCCTGAACTGTCTTTCACTGTCGAGAAATAAATTGTTCTTTACCGTGCAACTTTTACAAATAAGCTCGCAAGTTTCACTGTTCCTTACTGGATGAGTTGGAGAAACTTTATCGTGAAAAACACCTGTTGTAAAGATCAATGTAAGTGTTCACGTCCCCATCTTCTTGGTGAAAATTGCACCAGATGACATAAATTATGCCATCCTTGAAACTGGCTTCAGGTTGTTAGTTCTGACTCCGACATGGACTTAGCCGTACCCCCATCCTGAGATCTTTGAGTATGCGGCTACTGCGCATAATATCAACATAATCGAGTCAATTAAATCTTTCAGTCTTGGTGGTACTAATAAGTACCAGTTGGTTTATACCGTAATACTGCTTCAGCGCGACCGTTCTTTCTGCCGGTGCTTGCAAGGATAAGTACAATAGCCTGCTATCAACAATTTAGTGAGGGTCAGAACTGCGATACATTGTTCTGCATTGTGTGCAGTAAACTTTTGTGGTCCATGTTGAGTTATAGAGGAATTAATTCAGTACTAAAATTGTTAATTGATCGGAACAGGCAAATAGAAAACGCACAAAATCTGTTGGTTCAACATTTCGATGTAACGGAACAAATAGCTGTGAAATTAGTGGATTTTTAAAAAGTTGTAAACAAATTTCCGTTTGAATCTTCGTTTACATAGCTATTGATAACGGACATGTTTTTGTTGTATCACAGTGAAGGAAGCTGATGGGCTGGCTGTAAGCAAAGTAATGTTAACATTCATTGGCAGCTCTAAGAGCCAGGCGTACGGTTCGTTCCTGCGAAGGTGCGTGAGTAGGAAGTGACATTTCAAGACACGGGTTTGGTAACCTTCGTACTTGTACACCAATCTCGATTTGCCTGAATCGCTTCCAATAAAAATAAAGCTTCGGGTTGTAACAGTTCACTGATTGTCTCCCAGAGTGGATATACAACGTAGTCGATAAATCCAATCTGTGTTGAAATAGATGAAACGACATGAGTTTTAAATCGATGAAATATGACTATGGTAAAAGGCGTATAGTTGAGAAATCCCACATAAGGGACAAAGTGGGAATGGAAAAATCAGCACTACATACGTTATTGGACAGAAGCGCGCGTCGATAGACTCGTAACGAAGGTCGCATGCTATTAAGTTATTGGTAACTGCGCCTACCTAGGATTTGGTGACAAGACACATAGTTATATTACGTCAGTTTCCCATGGACATTGGTTGCAGCGTGTAATGTAACATAGCCATTGTGTGGTAAATTTGGTTTCGAATACAATTGTCAAACAAAAGTCATTTGGAATGGATTCCTTGAGTTCCACGCTTAGGAATGAAAAACGTTCCGGCAAATTACAATCCAGTTATTCTAAGCGGTTAACGCCAGTTCATAGCCTCCAAATTGTTGAGAAACTTGCCTCTGAATCCGGTGTATCATGCTTGGGTCACTTCACAGGCGCCGATATTTTCCTGTTTACACTGGCAGGTGTTTCATGCTAAATTGCTATCTGAGATTAATCCAAAATATCCTTCGTTGACATGTGCAACGCAGTCCTTCTTACAGCATGGGCGCGCTCTTACCAGGTTTATCAACCATGTATGGCATGTTTGGCTAATTAGCTTGGAAATAGCTCCAGGATCAGCAGGGAAGGTGCGTTAATACAAAATGTTTCATTATTTGTTCCGCAAAATTAAATGCACAATTGCGTGCGCTTTCAAGAGACGCTGGCTAAATGCGGTATGATACATCGTATATAGATAACGAGGATAAATACGGATATATGATTGCTGGTCGGTTAACCTTAAATATGCGTTTCCACACAGGTGTTTTCATTCATAAATGAAATATGTGTGAAATTCAGTCATAAACATCTGTAATTGTTAATTTCTAGAACACGCATATTTTACAATTTCTGGAGACCTAGTAACAATGGAAATGGATCAAGCTCAGAACGTTTGTCCGTATTTATAGATGTTTTCACCCTCAGGCTTGCAAATTAAAACCGACTTGTTGCGTTGGTACTAGTAAATTGACATGGATTGCAGTTCCTGGCAATGTGCAAATAATTTGGAGAGCAATTTGCCGCAACCTACTTTTGTCATAGTTGGCCTCACGTAAGTGTCGAGCATTTATGGAGACATTGTAGGGGGAATTAAGCGAATACCATAAGTAAAAGTCCAATGTAGGCTGTTGTATCAAGAAAGCCGTAGGAAAGGTAACATTGTATCTCGCAAAATTAACCAAGTACCACGGAGTCAATCCCTTGTTAAACGGAGAGTCAAGAGTCAGACACACAACCAATAGTAAGATAGGAATGATTCAGCAAGCCAACCAATGAGCTTGAGCCAATCGATCTTGCTCACATGGTTACCACATTATCGTTCCTCCCTACGAAAAGCTGCCTCAACCTGGTTCGTAGCGATCAATAGGTTTCACCGTTCTCGCGGACCGACGCAGCTGACTTCGTGGTAATGGTAACTCAGCCGGGTCTTCGCGCGCGGATCGGTCGGGCTGATTAGCTGGTCTGTGAGCTGTGTGGAGTCGACGCGCGTTGACAATTAGGCTGTTCTCCAATCGATAGGTGCCCGGGCCAAGCGTACGCTCGATGCGCACTGGAGCGGAAAGCGAAGGTGTGCCTTTCTTTGTCGCCCTGCTTTTGACGCGAACGTATGTCCCGGGCTGCATTGGTGTCGATGCTTAAGCGTAGGAATTTTGGTAAGATGCTATGCGATTTGAAAATTCGGCATCTCTCGCTGATAAAAGATTATGTGCAGCATTTAACTTTGTGCGTAAGGGCCTTCCTAGCATCAGCTCCGCTGGCGTTCTTCCGGTGGCTCTGTGGTCACATGTTCTGTAGGAACAAGCCGCAGTTAAAACGGCATCCTCCCAGTCCAAACCTCCTATGTGTATGGCTTGTATAGCTTCTTTTAGAGACCGGTTTAAACGCTCGACCATGCCGTTGGCTGCAGGATTTTAGGGCGCAATTCTGGAGTGCTTAATGTTATGGCAATCTAGCAAATCTGCGAATTCGAGGCTACTAAATTAGGGCCCGTTCTCCGTTACTATTTCATGCGGTAAACCGAAACGGCTGAACAAGTGTTTAAGCCAACGTAACACAACCGAAGTAGTAACTTGGTCGCACATGTGTACTTCAGGCCATCTACTGTAAAGACAAGTAGCAACAAGTAGATTTCGCTTTTTCGTAGGAGCAGTAGCGAAGGGGCCCATAATATCAATGGCGATTTTGGTCCATGGTTTCATCGGGTAAGCAATTGGCTGTGTCGGGGCTTTAACGAGCAAAGAACTTTTGTCCGCTAATCGGCAAGCATTGCAATTGACCACAAATGTCTCAATGCTAGATGTCATTCGTGGCCATCAGAAATACAGTCTCACTCGATTTTTGGTCCGAACTATATCTGGATGTCCCTCATGTGTGCAAGCTATTATCTTGGCTATCAACTGGGACGGAGCTACAAACACCGAACCGCGCATCAGGCAACCATCTACCACTGATAGTTCATGTCGAATTGCATAATACGGAATGAACTCACCCGGGGCTTTTGTTCTTCTTGGGCTAGCCCTGTTGCACATATTTAATGATCTCATGCTCAAGTGTTTAGAGAAGCTTATAAGAAACCGGATTTGTGAGCATTTGGCGGAACACAGTCTACTTAGAGCAGAGCAGCATGGTTTCATTAAAAAGAAGTCGTGCCTCACTAATCTACTGTGCTTCCTCGATGAGATTACTCGATGTCTTGACGACGGGATTCCGGTGGAGGTCTGCTATCTTGACTTTAGCAAAGCTTTCGACTCAGTAAATCACCGTTTCCTACTTGAAAAATTAGCATGGTTCGGAGTACATTCTAGACTTCTGTCTTGGGTGTCAGAATTCTTATGTGGGAGAACGTTTCGAGTTAGAATCGGTGATGTGAGTTCTAGTGTGGGCGTGGCCTACAGTGGAGTACCCCAAGGATCGGTGCTAGGTCCACTTTTGTTTCTTATGTTTATAAACGACTTGGCTCCTCTTATTGAAGACCCCTGTTACATCTTTGCGGATGACTTGAAGCTAGTCAGCAGGGGCAACCGTGCAACACTGGCCAAGGATATCATCAGTGTGGCAAACTGGTCGAAGCAATGGGACTTGCCCTTGAATGCAAGAAAGTGCCAAATGCTGACCACTAGTAGAGACGTACTTGCAGTTCAGACTTCCTTTGGGCCTTTCCCCTTACAATGCACTACCCAGGCACGCGATTTAGGAGTCATCATGACGAGCAGCTTCAAGCCTTCGATGCAATGTCGATACGCCGCCAACAAAGCGCGACGAGAATTGTTTCGCCTCAGGAGGGCTCTGTGTAATACCAAGCCAGAAGTGTTCCTGCCACTATACAAAGCAGTGGTTAAGCCACACTTAGAGTATTGTGTTCAAGCTTGGTCGCCCTATCTCCGTGATGATGTTCTTTGCCTGGAGAAGATTCAAAGACTAGCAACCAGGATGGTTGAAGGTCAACGGGGGAAGCCGTATGAAGATCGCCTAAAGAGCCTGGGGTTGTTTTCCCTTGAACGGCGTAGACTGAGAGGCGATCTGATAGAAACATTTAAGATCATGAAGGGCTTCAGTGCCATCGTGCCCTCTGATTTATTTGAGCTGGCTGATTCTGAACGCTTGCGTGGACATCGCTTGAAGCTCAAACAACAGAGAGCTAGACTGAACGTCAGGGCTAAGTTCTTCTCAAATCGTGTAGTGCGCAACTGGAATAAGTTGCCTTCGGAACAAATGGATTGTGAGACTGTGGTTGCCTTCAAAGCAGGCCTAGACAGTTGCTGGCCGCGTATTTTTCCGGAATTAATATAATCCTATCCAATTTATTCGCATTGTTATCCGATGTTGATCCTTGTAAAAGCAAAGATCGCTCTCGCTTTTGCTTCATTTCTTTTTGCAGAGGCAAGGAGAGGCGATCAAAAGTCGAAGTATCGGGGGCTCTGGTTCGCTTACCGGTACAAGAAGCTGGACGCTCGTTAGGCGGAAGCCTGTATCGTCCACGGATTTTGACCTGACCTGACCTAAAGAATCGTTCGAATTTTCCCTTCGTAGTTACTCCATCGTCAAGGCATACAGGTTAGCTCCGAGACTAGAAACTAATACCGCCTCTCTGAGTCTCTCTTTTTCATCTTCCAACCCCACGGGTAGGCGAGATAGGCAGTCAGAAATCTGATTTTGCAAGCCTGGCCGGTACACAATTTCAAAATCGTAGTTAAGGAGCCTGGCATACCAGCGACCGATTTGCATTGGGCGAGATCCTTTAGATCCATTGCTGAGAAGAGCTGTTAGGGCTGAATAATCAGTACGTAGAATAAAACGACGACCGAACAGAAATAAAGGCCACTTTTCGCAGGCCCACACACATGCAACGGCTTTTTTCCCAACTGAATAATGACGCTCGGAATCTGATAGCTTTCGTGATGCGTAGGCAATAACTTTCTCCTCTCCGTTTTGTATTTTGAGAGGACAGCTCCGAGACCGACAGCAGACGCATCAGTGGACACAAACCTGCGGCATGATTCGTCAAAAATGGCAACTAAGGGAGCAGACGCAACTCTCTATTTTTCAGTTCATCAAAGGCATTTTGATGATTGCTGTCCCAAACAAAAGACGATCCTTTCTTTGTTAGCTGTCGTAATGGATCTGCCACAGTCGCAAAATCCGGTAGATAGCGCAGGTTATAATAGCACATTCCTAAAAACGACTAGTTCTGTCAAGTTTTTGGGTGTTGGCGCTTCATAGATGGCCCTGATATTTTCATCACTCGGTCGAATGCCACTGCGTGAAAGGACGTGTCCCAAAAACTGAATTTCTGGTGCATTGAAGAGACATTTTTCTGCGTTCAGACGCAAATTGAGATAACTGAGGCGCTGGAGGACTTTGTGTGGCCTTTCATCATGTTCTTTCTGTGAGCTGCCGAAAACCCA